AGATATACAGGATATCTCATTTCTGACATGTCCACAGCACCAAGAAATGCTTCTGGTGGCACTTCCACAGCTAAAACCAGGTTCTGACATCTCCAATACCTTCGCTGCCACCCTGGTCCTGATGGTGGGATGGGTCCTGCCCACCCACTCCGATCCCATCTCATTTCCTCAGGGAAGGATGGCCAGGAAGGGGAGGGTGCAACACACTATCCTAAGCAAGCAAACCTTGCACGTGCTCGAGTCAGACATTGCTTCCTTTGGGTTTCTCATGCCAGTTGTACATCATGGTGGGATCCCAGCTGGACCCATGAAGTGCTCTGTTAGCAAAAAAGGGCTTTGGACCTACTTCTACACCAGTAAATAAGTCAAGGACAGGGCACCGGCTCTCACGTTTGCCCAATATCAGCATTCACCCATGCCAAGAAACACCTCCCAGACCATGCCCGGGGGACAACCCAAGGCCAGTCAGTCATTTGGATGTGTCCACCCCATTTTGGGGAGGGAAAGGGTGCCACAAAAGCATGCTATATCACCTAGATTCGGGGCTGAAGGATAGACCCTGCCCTGTGCTGTTTACCTGTCTGGATGGAGCCTCTCCCTGGAGCATTTAGCCTCAGAAGCTTCTTTTTCCCCAGTTTGCTTCTTCATACCATGAGGCACAGCATTTAGCAAGGAGGATCTGGAGTGGGAGGTGAGATTATCTGTGGGCATGCTGCTGTGACAGCCTCCGACCCAGCTCCCTCTTGCTCCAAATAAGAGGAAGAGGGCCACGCAGGTAGGGCCATTTCAGTAATGCCTGGGAGATGCTGAGCACCACTCCTGCCCGTTTCCTTGGAAGCAAGGACAGCATCTCGGGCAGCACTGGGTTTGTGCCACCACACCTTGGCGACGGTGGGTATTTTGGGAAATGAAATAAGGTCAGACCCAGAAATTCGCCAAGCTCCGCTTCCTCCGAATCCTTCAGCCCCACAGCAGGCAGCAAACCTTGGGGAGAGCACCCCAGGTACATCCACCCCAGAAGCAAGGTCCACATGCCCAGGGAAGGCTTTACACCACTCTAAGCATGGGGAAAAGAGACACAGAGGAGGCTGGAGAGCCTTTCAAGGCTTTCTGAGGACACAGGGCTTTGCATCTCATCCAGGGATCAAGTCCTGGAGCTCCTCTGTTTGCACTCTCAGGAGACTTGAAGTTGAACAAGGGGTCCTGGACCCCATCAGACCTACTGAGCAGCCTCAGCCCATCATGAGACCGGCTGCCGGGCTGACAATAAATCAGGCGGCGGTCAAGCGACTGATGCACTGAGCAATGCCTGCACCCTCGCCCTCACCTCTGTGTCTACACCCACCCATTATAAAAGATCCCGTGTGGTGGGGAAGCTGGGGAGAGATGTCTTTCTGTGCTGTTTTGCCTGCCCCACTTCTAACAGAGTGCCTAACAAAAGCTCCTCGGCACCACAGTGAGTCAAAGAACAGCATTTCTGGAGGAGTGAGTGACGTGGGAGCAGCCCCGGCTTTGCCACTACAGGTTTCTGCATCACATCACGGAGAGGATGAGTGTTCACACCGGTTATAGCAGCACAACGCTGCAGGGGCCTGGGAGAGGCAAGCTCTGAGTGCACAGACATCTGCAGTGGGTGGGCAGGCTGGACCTTCCCGGTCCCAGTGTAAGGACATCCCTGGACCAGCTGGGTGAAACATCACCGAGATATTGAGGGCTGAGATCCAAAGAGCCCTCCAGGTCAGGGCAAGAAGCCCTGAATTGTTGTCTCCATCTTAAGCACATGAATCAGAGACACCAAATGACTCTCCCAAGGTCAGACACGGGGAAAAGTGGTGGTAGAGCTTGATTTGAAGTCTTGCCTAGACCGCCTTCTCCCTAAAGACCTTCACCATAGACTTCTTCCCTTCTCTACTTTCATACAATTGCTGAAGGCATCAGGCAGTGGGTTGACGACAGGGTCAAAGCCCACAGGTGAGGAAAAATATGGAATTTCCATTATTTACATGCATGGTGGGTTGCAGGTGCTGGACTTGCTTTTTGGCTGTGACCATTTATGAGAGGAATGGAGGGAGTTAGTGGAGTTTAGTATTAGAGTGGCAGGAAGATGTTTAGGGAGTCATTGCAAAGAGGGAATGTGTAGGAAAATCAGAAAGAGGGGACAGAATCACCCGTAACGGGACAAAAAGGCGCAGTACCCTTTGATTTGATTCCCTCTTTACTCCCCAGGACCTCGTAGATGCCAAGAAAATAAGGTTCCCTTCATGCTGCCCAGGACCAGCCCAGCAATTCTGGGGACTCCCAAGCACGCCGCAGCTTTAGGAGAGGGAGGGACAGAAGGTCGCGCCCCACTTCCAAACAGCCCATGGCCACAGGCTCTGGATTGAAACCTTGTGCAGGGCTCGGTACCAGCTTGGGAGTTCGGATGCAAGTGCCACCTCTTCTAGCGCAGGCAACCCAGGAGCTTATATTAGATGCACAGCCCAAACCAAGGCACGTCCCCGGCGTGGGAGTGAGCAGACGCTGGAGGCTGGCCAGGGCTCGCCATCAGAGCTCAGCGCGGCTGGCATCAGCAGCGCGGTCCCGCAACCATCCTTTCTTGGGCTGCTTCCAGCACAGCCATCTCATCCCTCAAATGGCTGCTGGTTTTTTTTTCCACCCCCCCCCCTGGAAATTGCTCCAGGAGCATCGGCTTTCTGCAGGCAGACAGCATTTTGTGGCCAGTCCGGCGCCGCACAGAAACACCAGCTCCCTCTCGTGGGCTTGGTCTGGCTCTCTGCACTGAAAATCCTCCAGGATTTCCCAAGAAAGTGGTATTGTTGTTGTTGTTTGTTGTTGCTGTTCCTCCCACCATAATTCAGAATATTCATTAGTGCACCAGACATGGATGTTTTATGGAAATGTGCCAACTTCCATCAAGTTTCCTCTTATGGGTGTTTTTTTTTATAGTTTTGCCACTTTTTTTTTTTTTTTCTCAACGAGGCTGGGATTCAAAGCAACTAATTTAGGCATATAAATGGTAGGTCTCTCTGATTCACTTGCCCTGGGCCTCTGAAAAGAGTTGGGAGTCTCCATTGAGCCCTTCAAGTGCCATCTTCAATGCCTGTCCTAGGAGGGGGGAGTCACCCCAGAAGTCCACAGCTCTCTGCAACTTGGGGGGCAGGCAGAGACTGAGGCATCCAGCACTAGATAAATCAATGAAGGCCACAGCATGAGTCCCCAGAGGCCATTTCAGTTTGTAATGCTTGAAATGAAGTATATTTTATGAAGTCAAAGTTCAAGAAAGAAAAGGAGAGTAAAAATTAAAAAAAAAAAAAAAAACCTTTGGTTTGTACCGCAACAACGTGTCTTGACCCCAAACAGTGCCTGGGAAACTGTCATTTCAGCTTCTACCTTTGGTTTGGAAAACTCCCGCTTTCCCCAGATTGCTGGAGTTTCCCCCACCCCAAGCTGAATTTCCTGCAGCATTTCCACCCAAACCCCCAGCCGGGAATTGTCACCAGTCCGGAGAGGCATTTGTCCATCCTGCAGCACACCCTGCTACCTGATGGGGACAGCCAGGTCACTTCCCCCCCTCTCCCTCCTCCCTGGGTTGTGTGATCCAACACATCTCACCAACGTCCCCGATGATGCTGGCCACCCCGCAAAAAAATCACGGACCTCACACCCAGCCCTGCACCCCACACCCCCCCGCCCCCCATCCCCGTCTCGAGCCTTTCAGATAATTGAGCAACACATGAGGGGCTGCGCTTCAGAAAGGTGGTTTTGTGATTTCCTGCCTGGTGTGATATTCATCTGGGTGGCGTGGGTGTCTGTGGGTGACTGCTGGCCACAGGAAGGCTTGGTGGCCACCACCCATGGGGACCTCTCCCCCTTTTTGCAAGGCTTTGACGGTCCCCTCCAGCCTTGTCCACACGCAGGAGTAAATTTATCACGTGGGTTTGAGTGTTCGAGGTAACCCGGATAGCAGAAGGGAAGGGTGACAACACACAACAGCGAGTCCAACTGTCCTGCAGCCTGGACTTGAAGGAATCACGTCACAACTCCCCCTCATGTCCATCCAATGAGTCCCTTCGGTATTTAAACTGCTGGTTATTATCTGCAACCAGGCATTTATTGCGCCATTTGTAATTGTTTATTGCTTCATCTCAGCGCTGCCTCTGCCTGCCAGCTCCAGCCACGGAAAGGACTCTGTGTTTGCTTTGTGCTGCCTCTCCTCAGTGCCATGGGCACTTCTTTCTCCGCGGACCTTTCGCCACGCCTTGCACCGGGGTCTGTTAGCCCCTTTGGAGGACAACAGCCCTCTCTCCCCATGGCTGGATGGTTGGTTAACCCCCCTTCCCCAAATGCCTGCAATAACGTTGTGCTGAGGCTCTGTAGCATCTTTTTCCCACGCTCTGGACCATCTCCAGCTGAGCTGTCTCTTTTGCACTGTGGGATGCCCTGAACCACTGGGATGATGCACCTGAGCCCTGCCTTGTGCCGGGGAGAGCAGAAGGGCTCCTTCACCTTTCTCCCACCTCTCCCATCACCATCACATCAATGAATCGGGTCAGAGAAGCTCAGTGCAGTCTACAGCAATGAGAACAACTAGTTCCTATCCCCTCGGTGCGCAGCCCCTTTCTGTTTGGGGTCCTCCAACCATCTTTCAAGCCCAAGGGGTGAACGTTGCTTTGCACGATGACACAGCAAGGGGCACAGGCTCAGGATAATTTTCTGGACAGCTTCATCCATGTCTTAATGATTGCCATCACTCTGTGCTCCGGACTGGCTCTAATTCCCGGTCAAAATCAGTGGTTAGAAATCACACCCACCTCTTCTTCCTCCTCACGTGTCTCAAATGTATTGGAGAGGAGTAATTGCCACCAAGGTAGCTTTGTACCATGGGAGGAGGGCAGATTTCGATGTCCTTGAGCTGCAATGCCCTTTGAGCAAGGGAAACAGCCCTTTGCTCTTCAACTACACCCAGGATGTTTTATTTCCCCTTATGTTAGCCATGGGATACAAGAATGCTTTTCTGCAGCAAAGGCAGACCAAACCAAGCAAAAAAACCCAGTCAGTTTTGCTTTAAAGTGGCAAAAAAATACTTGACTGTGTTTTCCTGCAGGCTGTGGGGCACTCTGTCTCCACTACTGCAGGACGTGTAAATCCAATGCAATGAAATATTAATTATTAGTCTGCCCAACTGGGATTCCTCAGTGCTTTCAGAGAGCTGAATAATTCTGGCACACAGGAAAAAAAAAAAAAAAAAAAACACACACACACAAGTCCCTTTTTTTATGAGAAAATATTGCATGAGGAGTAAATTAGAGCTTTTGAGCATTCAGGCTGAGGGAGAAGAGGAGGCTTGGATTGCTTCAGGGCAAAAAATGCAAATTTCTAAATAGGAAGAGATCCTAAATGTGAAATAATATTGCTAAATATGAAAAAGATCATGATCTGATGAAGAGGCAAAGGGAAGTGGATCACCCAGTGTGGCTCCTTCGACATGGAGATCTGCCCTCATGGCATGGCACAACTGTGAGAAGGATGGGGTGAAGGAAAGTAGAAGTTGATTAATAAAAGAGAGCACACATCTCCGAAGACTCCTGTTATGCAGCACTTCAGAAGAAGTCATTCATCCAGAGCAGCCATGGGCACTAGCCCAAGGCCGATGTGCTCAGCGCAGCTCAAAACCCCTTTTGTCCCTCTTGTTTACCAGGGCTGGGTTCGAAGCACAGCACAGAGCATCATCCCTCGGCTGAGCAATGTTTTGCAGACTTGGGAGCCCAGGCTGACCCAAATTTAAGCATTTCCATGCTTTTTTCCAGAGCAAAACTCCTCCAAAAAGTGCTGCTTGGGAGGAAGGAGAAGCATTCAGCAGCACCTCTGGCAATGAAAAATCTCCGAACTCTCATCATTGTTCATTTTTCCAGATTCCTTTTACCATCATTTCTCGGCAGCCTCTGGAAACATCTACATGAAATATCTGGCCTCTCTGAAATCTGTATTCTTCTCTTACAAACCCCTCTACTGTTCCTCAGCAGTTCAACCCGAATGCTGCAAATACTTTTCATTGTGCTGCGGTTGCTTTGGGGGATGTCGGAGGGACGGGTAAATGAATGGCTTGCTGGGAGACACATTACCAAGCTGTAGGTCCAGGGCAGTGCTAGCCCTGGCTAAGGTCACTTGGCTGAGATAACCACCAGCAAGCAAAGCAACATGATGTACGGGATGACCGAGGTCAGCTGCTGGAAGTGGAGGTGGGGACAAAGCCTGCAGATGTGCGTGGATGTGCAGGCTGTGCAGATAAGCGTCGTTTTGATAAAACTGTGGCACTGCAGGCAAAGCCAACAGGAAGAGGTGTGTGGCTGGTGTGTCTGACTGTTAATGGGGCACCCGGGGATGTCATTGTCCCTAGCTGGGGACTGGGAGCAGGAGGCTGGACAAAGAGGGTAGGAGGTGCAAGGGAGGAGAGTTGTGGTTAGCACCCATGGCCGGCTCAGCCTTTTATACACAGATCTGCCTTTTTCCCTTCCCCAGCAGCAACCTTGTGAGTTTGCACTCTTTCCCTTCTGAGCCGGTGTGGAGGGGGTTGTATTTTTTGTCCACCCCACCTCCCCGAGCCTGGAAGCTGCTTCCATGCGGCTCCCAGCTGCCCCTGAGATAAGGTAAGGTGGGAGAAGAAACCCCTCTCGAGATTTGCAGGACATGCAGAAGCAGCATCTCCCTCCCGCAGGCTGCAAGGGATGTAGCACAGCCGCTTTCTCCACCAAGCTGCCAGAGCGCCAGAGCTCAGACACGAGAAGCAAGAGAGAAGCTACGGGTTGGGAGGCAACACAGGGCAGGAGATGATGACCATAATACTTTATCTACTCTGCAGCATGCTTGGTGTCCGTACCCTTTCGGAGGAATCTGACCGTGCCCTTCAGGCCTTCAGGAGGCCCCTTTCTCCCACCACCGCTGAGCAGGGTGAAGAAGGACACGGGTACAGGACCCCCCCTGCCATCTCATTGCCGAGCTAGCCTGGGTCCTGGGCATGCGCTGAGGTTGCACAAGAAGGTTTTACAGCAATAGGAGGTGTAGGAGGCCAGGCCCAGGCTGAAGTTGTGGTGTGGGCAGGTCTGGGAGCACTTCTTGGTGATCCTCTTCCACAAAGACAAAAAGCCTTGTCCAAAGAAGGGAGAGAGCCGTATTAGCAATGAGAGTTTTTTGAGTGCTCCTTGATGTTGTACAGGAGGGAGGTGGGCTAATGGGTCCCACTGTCCCTCCCACAGCCTTAGAGACCACCATTGCCAGAGAGACCCATCCCAATCCCACCACAGCCCCATAATTGCTGGTGGCCAGCAGCACAAGGCGTTCAATATCCCTGCTGGGCAACTGGCACCTCCCAGCATGGACCCTCATTTCCAGGCTTTTTTAGGTGTACGATATCATCCATGAGACAGTGCTCATGCCTGGATCGAAAGCACATTTCCAGGTTTCTCTGCTCAAAGGAAATAATTTTATTCACCTCTATATCTCTCTGGACCTTCTCATCCACCCTGGTTACATGCTTATTTTCATCTCCTTGACTAATCAAGGTTCAAATTTGTTCTTCCTCTGAAGGATCCTCTCTTTGTCCTTCTTCTTACCCCAGTGTCCCCTGACTTCCCATGCAGGCATAAAACAAAGGCTAAAGAGGATAATCTCAGTGTTTGATGAGGAGGAGCATTTCAACCCGCCCAAACTTCAGCAGTGCCAGGCTGGGCTAGCAAGGGCTCCACCTCCCACACGTGCTTCCCCATGACTCCTCAGCCCATCCATCAACAAAGGGCAACCACAACAACTCCGGTTAAAACCCCTCATCCCATTCCTGAGTCCCCATCAGAGGATAAACAGCCAGCACATACCAATTCCTACAGAGGCAACATTGGTCACACAATACTCATCCTTGTCCGAGCACTTCTTGGCCTTCAGACATCTCCAGTTGCTTTGTTCCCAGTCACAGGTGTAGCAATACAGGGCTTTTGCTGCAGGAGGAGACACAGGATGTAGAAGACGGAGACAAAACATCACCAGTCCTGGCAGCAAAAATTACTACCACCTTTCTGTCGACTCTCGAATGCACGAGGCGCAGGGCTGCTGGAAGTAATGGATCTGCAAGACCCAGCCCTAACCTACTCTGCTGTCCGCACACTTGCACATTTACACCCCACATGTGCACGCGGGCACACACACCGATGGTGCAAGTCTGCCCTTCCTGCCCTGCGCTCAAAACAATAGCGCCATGGCCCAAGGGCACTGGGTTTGATGTGGTGCAGGGAGCTGGGAAGGACCCGATCCTCTGTAAGAGGCTACAGGGATGTCCCAAGTCTTGGGGGTCACCCTTTCTAATTGCTGAAGACACTATAACATAGACTATAGCCTAATTGGGTGGTAAGCACTGACAGCCGAATAGAGTTAATTGGGACCTCCACAGGCTAAAGAAGTCAATGCCTGTGTCTTTGGGTGGGACTTCAATGCCCTCGAACATATATCCATTACCTCGGTTAAAATAAAGTGAGGAGAAGGGCTTTTAACTCTTCGCCAGGTGAATTCAGCTCTAAGACACGTGCAGTCTAACATTTCATTTTTATTGCCTAGGTTATCTAACACGGATTAGGGCAGTCTTCGTTTTGGCACTGAAGACAATCTCTCTGTCCCCTGGGCCTTGTTAACACTTGGAAATTTGTCAGAATCACTATTCTGGTAAGTGAACAAAGCTAAATAGCAGAAAGGTATTCTTAGGCCACAATGAGACAGAAATAACTGTTCCAAGAAATTATTTTCTGCACCAGACAATGTGGCAAATTTCCAAGTGCTGGCAAACCCTGTTCCTCTTTACAAAATGAAGATAACATTTATTCTCTCTGGTTGCTTAACTGCCTTGTCTATAGAGGCTATAAGAGCATATACTTAAAGAGGGCTCTGATTTAATAGGTAATCTCTCTGTGAAATAAAATACATAACCTATAATGCAAATAATATGCAAATATACATCTCCACCCAATATCCCAGCATAAGGCTGCTTAACCCATTTAGTCCGCAACCCAACTTCTCCCTAATTCCCCAACTTTGTCCCGGAATCTCTGGGATCAGCAGGCTTGCTGGGTCTCTGAGATGGGAGGACAGCAGAGGCATTCAGCAGGCAGCCACACGAAGCCAGATGTTGTACATCTGGCCCTGTCCCGCTCCTGCTAGAAACGGCGTCGGTGCCTGCAGTAGGAACCAGGTGCCTGGGGTTGCTGATATATTGTGCTATCGTAGTCTAAAGCACTTCATCAATATTTAGAAATAACCACAGTCTTGCATCATTTCAACAGACACTGGAAAGTCTCTTAACAAAAGCAGAATGGTGGCAACTGCTTCCTTTTTTCTATCTTGCTTTCATAAAATCCAGCAGTACGCGCGTCTATAGGGAAATTTCCCTGCAGAAAACAAACATTTCACACATCCTGGCTGAGACTACAGATAAGAAACCCAAAGAGGAGCACTGTGTCTTTCAGCTGCACCATTGCAAGAGCTAAAGCACCCTCTCCCATGACTTCTTTCCCTGGCCACGAGGCCTCCCTAACTTTAAAACACGTAACTAGTCTTTGCCTAGTAGCAAACCGTGATACCTCACCTTGATTTGCGCACAGGATCAAAGCCAGTATGGCAAGGAGGGAGGCCTTCATCTTCTCTCAGTTGTCTCCGCAGTCCAGAAAAAGCACCCTCACCTGGGGACAGGATATATAACTTCCCTGCCTTTGGACTGAGTGATGATGAAGACAACAATTTTGAAGGAGTGGGCAGGGATCACGCATTATTTGAGAGGCTAGGAATGCATGTGGGCTGTTTTCTCACCTCAGCATTGCCTTCAGGCTGGTCTGATGGGTCCTGAGAGGAGTGAAAGCACTAAGGCAATTCATTCCATTTATTGCTTTTAATACTTTAATTTATCTATGGTCAGGCTAGCAGTGCTACTGATGTCTGAGTGGGGTTTTTGTACTGTTTAGCTCCCATCCGATCATCACATCTGTGGCCAGATAGTTCAGTGAAGGCAGCTACTCAAAGCTAAATGGTAATAAGTTGCATAAATTGATGGCTTCAGCTGGGTGGATTATTGCCAAGTGCATTTCCACGGCTAGACCTGGAGAACTCCCAATATCTACAGTCAAGGTATATCTAGCTATATATTCATGGTTGTCAGTATAAATAGGAAATGTCTTATAATTTCCTTTTTGCCTATAAAAGCTGCTGGTCACCTACAAAGTCCTAAATGCTCTGCACCCTTGTTTTGAGAGCAGCTGCCACAAGACAGCAATGGTTTGGGGGTTCAAATGCAGAGGCCAGGACACTTGAGGTTGGTTTCCAGCTTTGCAACAGCTTTCCTTTGCTACATCTGAGCAAAGGGTAAACATATCTTTGTCCCCCTTCTACATAGAGCATCCGATTCAAAGTCCTGCTAGATACCAGTCAGATATAATGTTCTCAGCCTTTACGATTTCTCTGCATGCTTACATTTGGGTGGAGTTGGAGATGATAATTTCAGCCCTTCTGGGGCCTCCTTTTGACTGCCTGTCCCACTTCTGCTTCCAAGGTAACAGTTACCAGGAAGTTTGGAGCTGGATATCAGCAGACATCACCATGAGTCACCCCACACCAAGCCACCAAAGAGCAGAGAAGGTGAAGCAGGAGCAGCCCCTCTGAATAAAGCTGCTTGGGCAATAAGCCATCTGCTCGCCCCTTCCTTCTCCACCCTGCAAGACTCAGTCTGCAGGAAAGAGAACTGAGACTCGGCTGTAGCTACGCAGCCTGGGGTTTAGAAGATGGAGATGCAGAAGCAGAGGGCTCAGAAAACATGTGGAAGAAAGACATTAGATGGACAAGGGGAACGCTAAAATGATTGGGGGCCAACGTTTCTGGGTAGGATTTCAGTCAGATAAGCAAATATCCCTGAATCAGGGGTCATGTTCATCAGAGACATTTAGAGCATCTGATGGGACTAATCATTGCTCATTACAGTGAAGGCATGGCCAGAGGAAGTTCAAAGGGACACCAAAACCCATAGCATCTTCCTTTTCAAGAAAAAAAAAAAAAAAAAAAAAAAAAGGACGGGCAATTACTGGGGTGAGATGTTTTTGGTTGATTTGCAGATATTTCTGAGGTTTCTGACACCAGCGTTAAACCACTGGGTCAGCCAATGCAGCTGACATAAAGCAAGATCAACAGGATGGTGAAGTCAGCTCTGATAACCCCATGAGCACTAACCATTCCCCGCCGATGGACATACATCTTCTGGGTGTGGAGAGGAGAAGCCACATCTCTTGCCCAACAGATGAAGTTTTGCCAGACTCAGGTGCTGCATGCCACCGTGGATGCCAGAGGTGGTGTGTCAGTCCTCCCAGATGTCACGAGGCAGCAACTGAAGAGCTAGACCTATTCCAAGGAATAAGGATTGCCCAGTGTGATTCACTGCGTGGTATCCTCTTGCAGGGATGACTCCTTGGGGGAGTCTGGAAATCAGCCTAGGAAGCCAAAGCTCAGTGTCCTGCAGCAGCAGGAGCACCCTGGCAAAGGCCTGTGCTGATAAAGCAGTTTGCTTTAACCAGATTTGACTCTTTTTTTGAGGAAAAAGGGGACAATTATTGTGTTATTCTTCAATAGGATTAAGGTGTATTCTTGATTTTTTTTTTTTTTTTTTTTTTTTTTTTTAAACAAAGAAACATGTCTGACTCGGTTTATTCCCTCACTTCCAAGGACTGATGGGGTGAACACATCCTCTCCAACACAATGCTGGAGAGGAATCACCTGGTCTAGGGATTCAAATCTGCTCCTCACTGACAGCAGGAAGATGATCTGCAAGGCCATGGGAAGTGGTCCACCACTGGTCCGCTGGCAGGAGTGGTTTGATGGACAAGTGTGATGGTGGACAAGGGTGCACCATGGGCTGCTTGGCATTTTGAGGGTTACCAATGGCCCATTGAGCCAGATAGTTGGGAATTTACCATCCTGGCCTCAGGTATGTCTGATGGACAAGTGTGAGGTGTGGGACTTCCATGGCTGGCGTTTCCTCAGAGGCACATGGAAGACTGAGGATGGTGGTGGCACCCTGGGTGGTCAACACATGGAAGCAGCATGACAGGCAGTGCTTGGCTGGGTCAGGGCAGAGCACTGCAAAAAAAGTGTCCCAGTATTCAGCATCACAGAGCAGAAATGAGGCTACAGCTACAGCAGTAAATTAAATGTGCCCAGGACCATCTCCAGCATGGAGGCCAAGAGGTGGCCATCATCAACAAGGCCTCTTGTGAATAGTCCTTCCCTTGTGCTCTCTCCTCTGCTTTTTTCCATTGCATGGGACTACGGTGGTTGGTCCATATTAAAACTTTGCCAGGGAACGTGCTAGCAATTAAAATAATTAATTCAAAGTTGTCAATGATGGCATTACAGAGCAGGGCATGTTCCCAGGAACTGTTTATTTCCCTCGCTTATGTTCAATCTTGGAGATCAGACCCATGCAGGCATGTGAATCACATCCTTCAGGGTGAGAGCTTGGTCCCTGATTTTACTCTTGGCTGTGCCATGCTGCACTACGTGATTGTGTTAGAGCTGGCTAGTAAACATGGCTTGATTTGGCTGCCCTCTGAAATGTTCTGGCCCTTGAGTCTTCCTGGATGAAGAACAGAGATCAGAAGATAATGAACAGAAGTCAGCCAGGGATCTGCTTATTTTCTGGGAGCCTCGTACAGGGGTCTTCCCATGAAAGGCCACAGGACAAGTGTCCACATGTGGAACCACAGCAATAAGGAGGGACAGAAACATCATGGCTTGGTATCATAGGACCTCTTTTTTTTATTTGCCCGAAGTTAACTATTCAGTTTCCCTGTGGTCAGAGCATGACATCTGCCTCATCACTTCATAGGTGGCATCTCAGAAGGTTCCCAAATATTTCCATCTATCCCAGCATCACCCCAATCTGTATGTGTTGCCACTTCCACCCACTTGCTAATACTCCAGGGACTGACAGGGGTTGCAGGACAGAAGATGTCCTCAGCATCAGGTATGACGTGGGTGCCAGTCTCTCGTCCCAGGTAACAAGCGATAGCATGAGAGGAAACGATCTCAAGTTGCCCCAGGGGAGGTTAAATTGGATATTTGGAAAAAAATTCTCCACGGAAAGTGATGTCAGGCATTGGAACAGGCTGCCCAGGAAGTGCTGGAATCACAATCACTAGAGATCTTTTTTAAAAGACATGCAGATATGGCAATTAGGGACAGGGTTTAGTGGTAGACTCAGCTGTGTTAGGCTAACAGTTGGACTCAGTGATTTTAAGGGTCTTTTCTGACCTAAATGATTCTATAATAACAGTACCAGGGATTTTCCAGCCCTAAATAAAACCCATTGAAGTAATTGGAGAATCTAATGCTGTCATGTTCCCCATCCTTCACTGTGGGTGGGGTTGTAGGGGAGGAAGAAACCAGGTCAACATGGTACCACTTGTTTTTGGCAGGGAAGACAACAATTTGAAGCACACGCTGCCCTAGGAGAAAAAGACAGGATTGTCTTTTGAGCACGCCTTGAGTAAGGGCAATCTCCAGCTCTTCCCAGCCTCGAGTCCAATGACTCAAGTCCAATAGTGATTTTTCCTTCTGGCTCTTTCTCTCCGTCTTTCTCCTCCTCCCCGGGGATTCACCTGTAGTTGGGCCCGCAAGGCTCATTCTTTGTATCCTTCTTGGTTGCAACCTCCTCAAACTCAGGACAGCGAGGTGGGTTGTCACCACCACCCCACTGACACAGATCTGTCCCCACCTCAAACCTTCACAGATTCTTTCCTGCTTAACTCCTAGGGAAGCCTGGAGCTAAACTCACCCATGGGTTTACTGAAAACTAACGTGGGCTTAAACTCTTTGCATGCCAAATCGCTGAAGGACTCAGACCCTGTGGCTGCTCCTGCCTCACTCCCCATTCCTGGGTGCTGTGAAGGGCCAGGTACTCACTCTGGGAATCCCACAGTGGGGCAGAGATACTCAGGTTCAAGAACACAGCTTGGGCAGCCTGGGGCCAGGTTACACCAAGGTGTTGAAATCCTTCTGAGAACCTGGCCTTTGGCTTCCTCTCAAGCAGGACAGGGAAATGGTGCCCCAGGGGCATCTCAAATTGCCATTTACCAATAGTACCTGATTTTATGCAGTCTCTGGGACTCCTGTATTGCTCAAATCCCAGCTGGGTCTGGATTAAGTTACGTAGAGAATCATACTTGTACTTGGGGGCATTAATAAAGGTATCCAGCAGTGATGTCCAGGTGGCACAAGTTCCAGAGGAGGTCACCACCCTTCCAGCTGCCCTGGGGCTGGAACCAGACTGCAGAAGAGCTCTCGCAGAGAAAGCTATGTCTATATCTACATCTATGCCTACCAATAATACATGGAGAGCCCATGCACAGTTTCAAGGGCTGTCCCACAGTTGTCCACCTTGTTTAATTGTTAGCATGCTCCTCAGCACATTTTTGGCTTCACCATGTAAGACCATCCCAGATCATTCCAGATCAATTTTCCAAGTGGTATTTTGGATCCAGCCACCTTATTTTGGAGAAAGAGAGCTCGGCTATACAGATGGGCACCAGGTGACCCCAGGGTCAGGACCTGACACAGGGTGTTTCATTTGCTAAGTTGCTTTCCCCATGCTGTCCCAGCCCTTGTCAGGACCAGAATCTTGACAGCA